AACTTTCTTAACAGTCTTATTAAGTTTTCTTAATATGTTTCTGATCCATTTGATTAAGGTAGTTATGCATGTGATGTGACTATCAATTTCCTACTTACTTTTTAAGAATGTTCTGTAATTTTTATAATTCACTAGAGGAAGATATAGCCCTGGTGGTAGAGTCATTAAGTACTAGGCTGCTAATTGAAAGGCTAGCAATTCGAATCCACCAACCACTCCATAGGAGAAAGCTGTGTCAGTCTGCCTTTGTATAGATTACAGCCTTGGAAACTCTATTTACAACAACAGTTCTGCTCTATCCTTTAGAGTCCCCATTAATTGGAATTGACTCCATGGCAATGGGTATGGTTTGTATTTTTGGACTACAGGAAGAAAGACTTTTGATTATCTCATTCCCTTCTCCCTCCTAAATTTTAACATATACTTACATCCATAAACTTAGTGATATTAAGGCTTGCTTTTTTGTTTCCTTTGAAGATACATACGATTCAAAGTATATTTATTCTTATTGCTGAAGAAAATAATTATGAGTTATTTTATAACAGTTAGAACTCATACCAACCCAAAAAACCAAACTCACTGTCATAGAGCCGATTCCAACTCATAGCAACCCCCTTTGGGTTTCTGAGACAGTAAATCTTTGTGGAAGTAGATTCCCCAGTCTTCCTTCTGTGGAGTGGCCAGTGGGTGTGAACCACCAACCTTCTGGTTAGCAGTCATATGCTTTAGGCTATACCATATAGGTGATGTTTTTTCTTAATTATCACCATAGGTGGCCACTTAGACTAGAAACTCCTCAGGAGGTTCTGCCTCTTGTTATAAAGATATAAATCTATTCTTCGTACATATTAAGCTTTGCTAAAATAATAATTTTTAGTGTCATATAATATTTACAACATTATAGTAGAGTATGTGATTGTTTTTAAAGCTCAGGAGGTATTTCCCTCAGGCTTTAATTTCTAATGAAATTACAAGTAATAATATTTATTTTATTAAATAAATTACTTAGATAAATGAAAGATAATTAATTGTTTTTGTCATTTATATTGGCATTGTCTTGAAATATTTTCTCTACTTACAAAAATGTATAAAAACATTTAATTAATCTAAAATTAATTAGATTTACTGCTATTCAAATATACTAATGTTCAAAAAACTTTCAAACATAAACCTGTGTTTGATGTTTATGTATGACTTTAATTATATCTTTCATTATTTATTAGTTATTAATTATATGTTTGAGTCTAATAGTGGTACAATGTAATTATTACTTTTTTCCTTAAAGAATAAATAGCAAGCCAGGTCAATCCTTTCATAAAGTATTAGGATTTTCTGGTAGCATAGTGCCTAAGGCACTTAACTGCTAACTGGAAGCCTGGTGATTCAAACCCATCAGCCACTCCTCGGAAGGAAGATTGGGCAATCTACTTCCATAGTGATACCGCCTTGAAAACCCAAGGAGGTGTTGCTATGAGTCAGGGCCAACTGGATGGCACATAACAACAACAACAATGTAGTCAAAATAATTTCTGTTTACCAAACTGATTGCTTTCGTTTGGTAATTTAGGGAGATATTTCTGAACCACGTAAAATGTTTTTTTCAAAACTTAAAGGATATTTTCAAGATAAGAATGTCAAATGTCATCCTTACAGAATGACTTTTTTGTTCTTAATATTCCTTATAATCATGTCTTAGACATTAAAAGTAATTGTAATCAAGTACTAATTATTTTTTGTTAAAGAGGGAATAGCTGTTTCTCAGGTTTTGTGTCCATATATTATTATTTAATTATTCACACGTATCTTCCATTTCATGCTGTCACATATTTTTTATCATAGGTGCATAGGTGATTTTCTCCAGGGAACAAGCAGTGCTCTCCACATACATTGGCATTTCATAGGTGGGCTTTACAAAAGACTTAAAAAAATAAGGTTCTGATTAATATTTTAAGAAGAAATGCATAATGTAGAAAATTTTAATATGAAAATAACTTAGCATCTGTCCATCAAAGATTTTTATACAATGAAGATCTTTTCAAATGGTAATTGTGGAAACATATATTCAAGTCAGTTTAAAACTTTTTAAATCTCATAACCAATAAAATTAACATGTGCTTTTATAATATCTGAGAGTGTAAATTGCAGGGTTTGTTTTTTTCTTATGTTGCTTAAAATTACACAAGAGTTTATTTCTTCCCTTCTTTTTATTTCCTTTCTCTCCCCTCCTATACTGGCTTTATGGCAGTGAGTTTGGTTCGATGGGGTTTATACTTTCTTAAGGAGCTCTTGTGGTGTAGTGGATGCATTTGGATACTAACCAGAAGGTCAGTGGTTCAAACCCACCAACTGCTTAGCCGGAGGAAGTTGGGGCAATCTACTTCACTAAATATTTACAGCCTTGGAAACCCAATGGGGTTTGCTATGACTCAGAATTGACTCTCTGGCAGTGGAGGGCTTTTTGTATACCTTTTTTCCCCCCTTCCTGTCTTACCCTGCTCCTCCATTCTCTCTAATTTCTTAAGTTAACTGTTGTCCTTTTCCCTTCCTTTCTTTATTCCTTTTAGAAAATACTTATTTAAATTTAGTTAGGACTAGAATTTATGGTTGAGCCTTTATTCTATTTAGTGCATGCATGTTAGCCTGGAAATTGAGAGAAAAGTCTCTATACTTATACAAAATTTCCCTATTCAAGTTTCAGGCTTTCTGAAACTTAATTTCATTAAACCTTTACTGTAAAAGAAGTACATAGCACTAACCTCATAGATGTTTTAATAATGAGAATAGATGAAGGCTATAAAGTTAATAGCACAGTTGACTTTTGATATTAATTTTTGCTATAATTAATTCATAGAATAATTATTCAGAACAGTTAAGACTCAATGTTGTCGTTAGGTGCTATCAAGTTGGTTTCGACTCACAGTGACCCTACGTACAACAAAATGAAATACTGCCCAATCCTGCATAATCCTCACAATTGTTGCCATGTTTGAGCCCATCTGTGTCAATCATCTCATTGAGGGTATTCCCCTTTTTTTGCTGCTCTTGTACTTTATCCAGCATGATACACTTTTCCAAGGAGTGGTCCTTCCCTTCTGACAACATGACCAAAGTATGAGAGATGAAGTCTGTCCTTACTCTCTTGTAAGGAGCATTCCAACTGTATCTCTTCCAAAAATAAGTCCACCAGCACCAAAATATAACCTTGAGTATATATCACCCATATTTAAAGATCATTTGAAGAGTAGATTTGATGCATTGAACCAAACTAGTTTTGGGATGACAGCAAGAGCATGCTACACAAAGAAGAGGAGAAAAATGGTAATTGAGAAGACAGGAAAGGAAGAAGAGAGCAAAATGGAATGTCAGAAGAAACTGTGAAACTTGCATTTGAAAGGAAAGTGGCTAAAGTGAATACAAGAGATGATGAAGTAAAAAAGCTTAACAGAAGACTTTAAAGGAGAACTCAAGAAGACAAAATACTATGTGGAAATGTACAAACACCTAGAGTAGGAAAATCAAAGAACACTCTTGGCATTTCTCAAGCTGAAAGAACTGGAAAAAAAATCAAGCCTAGAATTACATTATTTAAGGATTCTACAGTCAAAATGTTGAATGATGCAGGAGACATCAAAAGAAGATGGAAGGAATACACAGTCACTGTACAAAAAACAATTGGTTGTCGTTCAACCATTATAGGAAGTAGCATATGATCAAGAACTGATGGCACTGAAGGAAGAAGTCGCAGCTGCATTGAAGGAATTGGAGAAACACAAGTCTCCAGGAATTGACGAAATATCCATTGAGATGTTTCAACAAACAGATGTAGTACTGGAGGTGCTCACTCATTAATGCCAAGAAATTTGGAAGACAGCTCCCTGGCCAACTGACTAGAAAAGATCAATATTTGTGCCCATTCCAAAGAAAGATAATCCAACATAATGTGGGAATTATCAAACAATATCACAAGTAAGCAAACTTTTACTAAAGATAAATGAAAAATCGTTGTAGCAGTATGTTGACAGGGAACTTCCAGAAATTCAACCTGGATTCAGAAGAGGATGTGGAA